TTTCTTTCTAAGGCCAGCTGCATTTTGATCCTGAGCTACTGAACGTTTTTATACCAGAGAAAAGCGTATCAGTACAGTGGCAGCTGTACATACCCATGTGCTATTTAGGCATCTTTGTCCAAACTATTTGCAGGCACGAGAGGCTGTATTAAACATGAGGGGGGGTGTACAAGATGATACGCTCTGACCGCTGTACGCGAGTGGTTCTTGGCCAGCTCTGACCTGCAGGGATAGCGTGTGAAGGAAGGGAAGTCATCCAAACCCTAGATCTGAATCACTGATTTCAGAGACGTAGTTGCCTTTCTATGGAGCTGCTGTTAATCCATGCTCCAAAGTTCTTTATCTTCTCCAGCTGACAGTCAGAACTGCATTCCTACCAAAATCAGATCAGCATTTCAGTTGTGCACATCATTGTGCAACGTTTTGCCTCATTTTTTAAGTGTATGTATATGCTCATATCATCAAGTTGATATTTTCTGCCACTGAGGGAAAATAAACTTACACAAACCTTGTGTTATACTGCTCAGAAATGACACAGACACCAATATTCAGTGGCAAAAAGAGTAAACATCACCTTAAAAAAAAAAAAGGGCATAGCAGAAACACCAACCCATTCAAACTTGTACTAGATCACCACCTATTAAACAGCAGCTTTGACAGTGCATCCAAGTGATGCTAAAAAAAAAAAAAAAAAAAAATGCTGGTTTGCCTCCATCTATGTGAAAGGCGTGCTGAACATTCTGGCCGTCCTGACAAACTTGATCCGATAATGGCTTTTGGATGGGTTATTCTTGGCCCCCTGCATAGCAGCATTCACTGTGCTTACCCCGGACACTTTGCATGCAGCACCATCCTAAGTGACCTCCTCCACAGGCTGTGCGTATTTCAGACTTTAAGCTAGATAATAAAACCACATACCGGATATCAGCAAGTGTTAATAAGATGTAATGCATTCCTGGCAAGCCCAGAACTCAGATCTTTAAAAAAAACACCAACAAAAACAAAACACACACGCAGGTTCACAAGGCCAAAGTCCAAAAGGAGTTCAAATGTACAGAGCTACTTTCATCTGCTCAAGCGCCGTGTAATTAAGAACAATATTTGGAACGCAGCAAATTCCCCCAGAAACATAGGTAATAAAATTCAGATTTAAAAAAAAAAAAACACAAGAAAGGAGTCAATGAGAGCTCATAATTTGTACAGTGAGACTATAAGGTGTCTCTGCGCGCTGTGAGACCCCTCCAGTTCCCGTGTCTGGCTGACCCCAGGAACGTCTCACTTGACTTCACCCCACCAGGGGCTTCCTCTCCAAGACAGGGGCCAGCGAGCTCCCCGCATCCTTGACTGCTGGCCAGAAACGCAGCAACGGCTCCGAGCGCTCCAAGACAGATCCTTCTGATTATCACAAAATGAAATTTTCAGCTCTTGTCATCATCAGCCTCAGATTTGTAATGTTACAAAAACATGATTTCCTTTCTCCATTGTATCAAGCCCTCTTCCATTCCCGCTGGTGAAATCAAACAATTTTAAAAGAATTTATATGATGCTAATTTAAACCGAATGTATTTAGCTGCCAATCGCCGTTCCCGACTCTCCCAGGCCTCCTGCCAGCTCTGCTCCGCTCCAGAGCAGCTATCAATCACAGCCAGCAGACCGAGGAAAAAGACCCAGTGATGCAAGAAGTGATACTGGTAATTCTGGCAGTGGAAACTCTGCCCTTCGCTTTTGGCAAAATGACATGAGGTGACCCCACACAATGGGAGGCTCTGAAAGCTTCAGCCCCTCGTCACTTCCCATTGGTGAAGCAGCCTGTAATACTTTTTGGAGGAATAAACCTAACACTTTGCTCAAATTCCAGCATCGCTTCCAACTCTGCTTTTGCAACTGGATGTGGCAAATTGACCCACCTCCCCATGCCACTGTGCGGCAACAGTACGTCTTTACTGCTGGAAAGCCATTGAGTCCAACCTCAGAGATAACTCGGTTCCCACAAAGGGTGAGGGAAACCCGTTCTAGAGTCTGCACCTTGCTTTCATAAAACAGCAGAAAACTGGGATTTGGGGGAGACTGAAGATGCGTACTTCACTGTATCATCTGTAGGCAAACTAAAAACATCCAAACGTTACCCTCTTGGTGCGTCGTATTTTGACACTCCCTTGCAACAGCCCAATTAGCTTCAACTGGGAAGGAAAAAAATAAAAATAAAAATCTTTTCCACTAAAGTATTTCGCTGTTGAATATATTCAAATGCTGAAGCTCTGATGTACCCGTAACAGATGCGAGCAGCGCCAACAGGCAAAAGAAAAATTTACAGCAAACCCAGACTTCAATTTAGAAATCCTTAAGGTCCAAAATGGCTGGAACTGAGTAGAAGGTGATGGACGATGAAGAACTGCAAGTGTGTAAGGTAGAAAAATACTGAAAGCAGAAGGACCTGGCTCAGGTCAAAGCAGGGACTGCAGCGCTGGCTGACAGGCTATCTGGAGTCTGGAGCTGAAAAACAGACAGTAACCTTAAGAGAATCTCAAAACATTAGCAGTTGAAATAAACACTGAGGGACAAAAGGTAAAGAGTAGAGGGTGTCTAAGGAACAGAAAGGAAAAAGAAGTAAGAGGAGTTGTGGGAAGAAAGAAAACACTCTTTAGAGGTTTGGTTCAGATGCATGGCTGCTTGCTGGCTCACAGCAGGAACTTTGATAATCCAGTACTCCAAAATCAAACACCACCAAACTCCTCCAAAGGAGGATGAGAACATAGTCCTTTCCCCCAGGCCTTCTCTCAGCTTCTCACTGTTGCCCTATCAGGCACTGCTTGAGCCCAAAACAGTCTGTTCAGTTAGCAACCCACAAGGAACCCGGTAAAAGCACTTGGCCAGTTTGTCCTTGAAGGCGTAGAAAATTATGCATGAGGAGCTCCACAGGTCTATCACCCACATGATGAAGAACCAACTTTCCCCCCAACCTTATTTCAAGCATGGCCCCTGCTGGTTTCACTCGCTGGGCCCCAGTTCTTGTATTCAGGTAGGGTAGGAGCAGTCAGCCTCTACCAATCACCCAGTGCCTCTCCTGATCATACAGGTGGCAAATATTGCAAAAAGGAGGAAAGATCAGAAGTGGTGAGCAAAACACCAGGAGAGTGTCCATAGCAGAAAAATAGATGCCAGTATGGGCTAGTGCAACGTTTTTAGCTTTGCTGTGAAAAGACAGATTTCTTTAGAGCAAGAGATGAAGAATTAACAGAGCTCCAGGCAGGGCATGAGCTCTCCCCAAGAGCAGAAGGGACAGGAGGGAAGGACGTGAAGAACGGGAAGAAGTGCAGCATGGATTTGAAAGGGACAGAAAGCACAAAGCTACAAAAATATCTCTATTCAAAAGATAGCAAAAGGAAGCTATTTGAAATTATAGGGAATTTCAAAATTGGTCTGCCTAAGCAGCCACAGAAACATGGCTGAACATGCACATCTCTCCCCACCCATAAAAGCAATCAGCCAGAGTGCCAGGAGGTTTAAATACACCATCATTATGACAAAACTGGAAAAAATACAAGAAAAGGAAGCAACATCTGCATCCTCTTATGTCTCTATAATTGGTAAATATCCTTAATAGGATATAAAGAAGTTATTTATTTAAAGTAGCATATTCACTGCATTAATTAGGCACCAAAAGACAAATGAAACTCCTTTTCTTTTCCAGCCACAGAGCCCCAGGAACCAAGGAAGAATCTTAAAAAGTTTGGCTGCTGTAATGAACAAAATGAGGGTATTTTCTGTAAGCAATTACTGTTCTAGAAACTGCTCGATCAGGTAAATTCAGCACAACACCACCTGTAGCCTTCCCAGACATCGCCACTGTGCACACCTGGCTTCACGATGTATCCAGGTCACAGTGTCTTTCTGCAGATTCAGAAAGACTAGTTTCATTCAATGCAACAACTAACACAAAAGTCTGCTGAACTTCCAGATGCAGAATAGCATCTCTCCATAGCTCTACTACACAATACAAGGCTTGGTTTGTTTTCCCAAAATACTAGAAAGAAGTTGAAAAGACAGTAAGGCAGCAGATATACTGTAAATCAAATCAATAAATAGAAATCCTCAAGCTAGACCATTTTACAGAAAGGATGGTGTTTACAAGACAGAAAATTGAACTTGCCTGTACCTCTAATCATAAACATAACAGCATAAAATTATCATGTGAAAAATTATAGCAAGAGCCCTTCCCTTAAATCAGCAAGTCCAATCCATCCATCACTATCAGAGGAAGTAGTTTATTACTCATGAAAGCTAATATTTCATTACTAGTGGATTTGAAATTCATCAAAGTAGCAAAGTTCTTTTTAAGAACCACTGTGAGCAACGCTCCCTGGCTATGATAAGAAAAACTGTGTTGAATTCAAATCTAGAATATTAAAGAGTGGGAAAAGGCAATTCCATTTTAATACACACATGGGGATGCTCAATTAATCAGGTTCATCTTTTACAGACATCAGCTGCTAGGCAAATGCAAGCAAGCCACAACGAAAGTTTACCCAGCATTTGAAAATCAGTTCAAGATGCAAAAGAAATTAAGTTGCAGTCAATACATGAACTTCTATTGCTTTACCCTGAACCTGGGAAATCAACACTGGTGTCTCCAGGTCTTTCAGTTGCCACCAAGCACAGCAGTAGAAATGCCCCTATCCTGCTAAGCAGAAAATATGAGTTACGCACCCCAACTGCACCTCCCAGGCTCTGGGCTACCAAGGGCCTATAGCAAAACACAGGCAGGAGAAGACGACAACAGAAACGGTCCATCACTTTTCAATGGTACAAAAACCAGACAATAAACTCTAGTCAACCACAGAATGAAGAATCATTGCTTCACGTAGTAACAAAATTACTTCAATACTTAAAATTAAGTTTACTGCCTTGGGATTGGAAAAGTAGAACTTTGTTTAACATGACTGTGAAATACCCTCCTCTTTCCAAAAAGCCTCCAACACGGGTGCACACACAAGTCCTACCTGTTTCATTGCCGTCTCTCCAATCTTGTCAGAGTGCTTACGGATACTCTCCAGGAAATCCTTGAGGTCTGACATGGAAACTTCTTTGATCTCTTCACGCAGCTTTGGAATATTATCCACCATGATCTTGCAGAAGCGGTAGTGGCTCACTTGGGGCAGGTACGTGTGCTCAAGGTGCTCAAGGGTCTTCAGCGCAGGGTAGTGTCTGGGGAAAACAAGCAAGGCAGATGCGGAAAGAAGAACTGCTATTTCCATCCCACTTCCTCTCCAAAATGTGCATTAACTGTAAATAATCCAATATATCTAAGAACCTTAGCCCTGTTCAAGGAACACAGACCTTAGCATCCAGGTGACCGTGAAAGCATAATCTTCCTTTTGAAACAGAGAGACAGAGGAACAGGAATGCAACTGGCACCTCCTTACTCAAGAACTTTGATGTGCAGACAAGGATCAGCTGGGTCACAATTGAGCAGCATCAGCTGAGCCCAGTAGCTTTACTGTGGGTAACAGCTGCTATTTGGGGCACTATATCACATAGTGAAGGAAACATTGGCAACCACACAGAGTATTATTAGGTTATGCAAGAAAAAGCTCAGCCCCATGCACAGAGAGGATCACAGAGGCATGATGGCTTATAGGGGAACCCCCAGAAAGACCCTGCACTGGGGGAGAGCCATCAGCCCTGTGGGCAGAGGTGACACCCATCGAGGTGAGCAGGTCTCCAGAGCACCTCATAGACCAAGGCATCTCTGTCAGGTATGGAGCATGTTACGGGATACAACATTTGGGGAGCTGCATCTCCAACTCTTTTCCTGGGTGAAGGACTCTATTCTGGGTGCAGGTGTGTGTGCACACATCACCTTCATCCTGAACAGCCAGACAGGGGGCAGGATGATGCTGTTGGTGTTTGTGAGTGTGGAGTGTTTCTGCCTATTGATACATGCAGTCGGCTCTGTGTGTACCAGGGTGTGTGTTGTATGCATGCCCGATAGGAGCACACACTTAGCCTTGCTCCTGCTTGGAACCCAGGGTATGGGGCTACAGCAGACTCACCTCCATCAGGCTGCCTGATTCAGCAATCCCAAACAGGTGCCACAGGACAGAACCATGGAGACAGGAATATACTAGACTGATAAACTAGTGTTTAACACCAGTTAATATCCAGTATTTGCTACTAGCATAGACACTTATTATTCTGTTGTAAGGATCTTGGTCTAAGAGCTCTCCAGCTTCTTTTCTATGCATACCAGGAGTCAGAACCAACCTTTTTCCCGGCTGTTCAAATGCTGCTAAGCACCGTTAAAACACTTTCCCCTCAAAGTCCTTTCTATTTAGGTAGAAGTGAAAATAATCTGGGTCCAACAGATACATTTTCTACAAAGCCCCTGCCTCTCCAGCAACTACTTTTGTGCCACTGGGATACATGACCTTTGCAATGTTAAAAATAAATTTATAAGGTATATTATTTTTAGAGTGGGGAAATAAGTTAAGATCAGGCCTTTGGTTGTAAGAATCCCAATGTTTCTTCTCCTATGCACAACGCATGCCTTTATATTTTGATCATGCCCAATGGCCTTACCTTAGGGAAGGTACCACAAATATTATCCTACCTTTCTGTATAAAAGCAACCTTCATAGCCTGACAGAAGATGCTAAACGGGAAACTATTCTAAGCAAATCATTTTTCTCAAACACCCTCTCCCTCTTTTTCCTTTGGGAAGTGGGAGACTATAGGATTTGCCTGTTCATTGGAATTCAAAGGCCCCACCTTAAGGCAACGTAAAATACGAGGCTGCTCTCCTGCTGATCTGACCACAGATCTCGTCAAAGGTTAAAAAAAAAGTTATCAGGGAACCACCTAGGAAGCATTAGCAGAGTCTATAAAAACATATTTCAGACTAACTCCAGGTCACAGTCACCTCTAGGGTGAATTAAGGCAACTTCAGCTGACTACATGCATTGTTAATCCTGCCCATAACCAGCTGCCACTTACACCTTGAATTTCTGGGGGAGAAAATGTGTTTAGTCATAAGAAACATATTAGCACCACTGAAAAAAACAACTGATGCTTATATCCCTATTCAAAGTAATTCTTGCCTGAACTCCAGGCAGGTCGACAGTAGAGTTATTTTAACCAGAAGTGGCCTGTCCTGTTCCCAACATCAGAAGTCAAACAGATTAACCATGTAACCCAGCCAGTGTTTACAGTACTACAGTGAGGTATGAAAAACTATTTGCAATAAAATGCAAACCTCTCTGGACAGAAACTTAAGAGGGCACAGAAAGCCAGAAATTAAACCAGAGGCATAAACACACATTGGGGGGGTTGTTATATTTTAGGGTATTATTTGTTGAACTAGAAGCAGCGAAAAGGTGGTCAGGGGGACAATGTGCGGTCATCAATAGGGTCCCTCAGCTGCCTGACGAAAACTGAGTCCAAAACACATAGGGGCAGAGGAAAGCTCAACACTGTTCTTGCATGAGATGTTCAGAGACCAGTGATTCCTGTGGCTGAAGTACTGCTGCCTCAGCACAGGTTGCATCCCTTAGGCTAATGCCTGTTATCAGCCACCCAGAGGGGCCACGTTTTTGCCCAGCTCTGTACCACCAGGACTACTGCACCAGTGAAACAGGAGCGCTTGCCAAGTGGGGGAAGTAGCATTTTGATAAAACAGAGTCAGAGCTGGCTTTTTTTTTTTTTTTGCTCCCCCACCCCAGAAATACCCATGCCCTGCTCAGGTGGGTACAGCTCTAGAAAGGCTTCTCAGCTACGGGAGTATGAAGCATTCTCATTTCTTATTGCTTGGAGACTGAATGGATATGACAAGTCACCCAGCAGTAAAAAAAGACTGATCCCTCCAGAGTCCCGCAGAAAGCAGAGGGAGCTTTCTCAACACTTTCCAACAAGCAGCCACGTGCGTCCCAGTCATTGGAGAAAAGCTTTCTGTCCCTTGTTTAAATTCTGGACAACAGCAGATGAAACGTTTCTCTCCAACTCTGCTGGTTGCAGAGTCACTCCTCTGGGTTCAGACCATGCTTCATTCCCTATCTCCAGCTCCCGTTAACAGCCACAGTTTCTGCATTTGGCAAATGCCTGCGTCTGGTTTATAAGCATGACAAAGCAAACAGTACGTAACTTACTTGTCTACCTTGGGAGAGTTGAGTTTATTCACGCAGAATGCAAAACCTATTACTCTTCTGAGACTGTGTACCCAAAACCAAAGACTCACGCTGGTAACAAACTCCCTTGCTGGCCCATCATGAAATGATATGCAAGCGAGACCGGGTGCAGACACAAAAATATTTAATATGTTGTGCTGTGTTTGGTGAATGAAGCCATCAAATCCAGACAAAGAACGAAGGAGGAAAAAAAAGAAAAAGCCAAGTGTTCAGATTTTCCTTAAATGTGGCTTTCAACTTCTATTTGTTTCAAAATGAACCAATCCAAAGAGGGGGAAGGGTGGGGAAACGATGCAATTCTTAGAAGCAGAGCCGGGAAACACTATCCAGAGCAAGGGAATCGAGCAGCATGTGGACTCCCTTCAAAAGTTCACAGCGCTGTGATCAGCTCCAGCTCCCCACCCCACATCTGTCAACAGATAAGCCCCTCGCTGTTCCTATAAACAGACTAAAAACAGTTGGACAAACACTGCCCTATTCTGTACTGAGCCATCCCAAGAAAGAGGGAGTGAGCTTTGTGAACAGCTAAATAAGCTCCCTATAACTCCTTCGGCCAGCCCAGCTTTCAGGAGTATTGCTTATCTGTTTACCCAAGGCTCCTGGGTCCAAGGACCACAGAGATCAGCGGAGGCAGGAGGGGAAGTGTAAAAATACGCCCATCCAATTAGTTATCGCCTTGTTCAAAACATCTGGTTTCTTCTGTATTGTTTCTATGATGGATGGCAGGCACAAACCAGGCATCGGATCTGATCGTGCTCCCTGCATGGCATTGAGCCGGAGCCTGCCGTGTTTTCAGCTGACCTCCTTCCTGCAGCTGCTCTTTGCCCAATTTGCCACCCCCAGGGCTACAACACGCCTCCAAAGTCCCATGCTGCTTAAACAAACCATCCCCCAGGATCCCAGCAATGCAAATATTCCGGACCATGGTTTAATCCTTCAGCATCACAACAGACACGGGGTGGGAAAAATCCTAGATTTACAACTCATGATTTCTGAGCCACAAAGTCCTTGTAGCTCAGCTCGCTAACAATTATTTCTACTGCAAATTAAGCCATATGCCTTCTCACCAGCTTCTACCGTCCTGCACAACACTTCTCAGGTGTTTGGCTTCCATTTATGTTCATTGGATTCTCTCAAATCAGTTTTTATATTACGACATTCATAGAATAGCAGTTAACAATGCTTATGTACCAAATCTTACATTGATTGCATACATCACAACAGTGAGCTTCCATGAAAAAAAAAAAGTGAACTTACTGCTTAATTAAAAAGCCTAACACAAAACAAAACAAAGAGCCCGCTGCAATCCCAGTCCTAGGCGGTACCACAGGAGGCTGAGCAGGACTATGAAGAAACCAGCCAGAAGTCAGATAAGTTAACTTGGAAGGGCTGATTTTGAAGTCTTAAGTTTTGAGAACCTCTTTAATTTATCCAAAAAAAAGAGCGTGCTTTTCAACTCTTCCGCTATAGACAGTCCATACAAAATTTACCTTTTAGATTTCATTTGTTCTCGCAGTTTGCTGTACATCTCCAGGACTGGAAAGAGAAGGAAAACACACAAGCATTGAGACATCAGCACAAAGCAAAGAGACACAAATTAAAATAAACAGCTATACAAATAAAGAGCAATTTCAGATTCCTCACCAGGAAGACACAGTGTTAGCTTATCAACCGTTGCTGAAATATTTCTCTGTTGTAATCGGCATTGCTTCAGCTCTTCCATTGCTATTATCAACTTTGGAAAGGGAAAAAAAAAAAAGTTTCACTAAGAACAGTAAATAGAGAGGATATAAACTGCTTTGCACTTGTCGTGACCATCCAAACAGTAGGTTGACAACAAAGCCTACTCTGATAACCAGAGAGCTCACTGAGCACTGAGGAGCGTCACTCAAGTAGGGAGGACAGGCAGCTTCACGTTGTTTAATCGAGTAGCAGAAGCATTCCCTAGCCTAATTTCAAGTAAGCAAGCAGCAAAACCAAAGCCATCAAAATACCAGCCTTGTAGCACGTCCTGTGAATTCCAAAAATTATTTCCCCTTCCCATTTTATTCATCTCTTCCCTACTGCCTCTCCAAGCTTCTCTTTTCTAGTTCTTCTCAAAGACAGGATGTGGCCGCTTTCTCCCAGGGGGATTCTTACCATCACAAACTAACAAGGATTTTTAAAAGCTCAGTCTCCAGCAGAAAAACCTGTGCATCTGGACAAGGGCAAAACAAAGATTGGTCATCACATACAAAAGAAAACTCTTTAGTTTGTTTTTGGTTGGTTGGGTTTTTTTGTGGGGTTTTTTTTTTTTTTCCCCAAAGGAACAGGTCATGGCTTTGTCCTCTAGACTACCAACTTAGCTCCATAGTACCATACTGAGTTTGCAAAATCCTTTTGAAATCCCAGACTCTTCTACTCTAAGAGGCGAATCTTCCATTCAAAGTAACACAGAGGTATGCTTATTTGATTCAGGAGAGAAGCTGCATCACCTCCTCCCCAAAGGGCATTTTTATCTTTAATCTTTATTGGAATAATTGGTCTGATGCAGTCCAACATGGGGATTTTCTTGTTTGTTCTTCAAACACAATGCAGCTGACTGAAATAGCAATGCCTGCATGTACTTTCAGCAAAATGAAGTCTGGGCCTCTGGGAGGGCAGTTAAGACGGAAAATAGAAAAGCTGCTAAGAGTAGATTTATGTGGAATATGCACAGAGCAATGTGAGAAGAACCATCCCTGGGAGTTCTCATAGATCTCCATCTCAGACACTTGAAAAACTTCAAGCACCAGTGCCTTCACACATACTCAGCTCTGGAGTCCCCCCAGTCTGTTAATATTCCCTTATGATGAAGCGGTAGAAGAATGAATGTGGTTAGTCTCACCCAACCTAAACTTGAGGACTTCCAGGGATGGGGCATCCACAACTTCTCTGGGCAACCCATTCAGTGTCTCCCCACCCCCATCATAAAAAAAAAGTCTTCCTTGTGTCCAATCTAAATCTACCCTCCTTCAATTTAAAACCATTGCTCTTTGTCCTGTCATTACAGGCCCCAGTAAAAAGTCTCTCTCCATCTTTCTTATGAGCCCCCTTTAAGTATTGAAAAGCCACAAGGTGTCCCCAGAGCGTTCTCTTCCCCAGCTGAGCAACCCCAACTCCCAGCCTGTCCTCACAGCAGAAGTGTTCCAACCTTCCGACCATCTTCTTTCCTGTGCTGAAGGCCCCAGAGCTGGACGCAGTACTCCAGGTGGGGTCTCACCAGTGCAGAGTAGAGGGGCAGAATCGCCTCCCTCGACCTGCTGGCCACGCTGCTTTGGATGCAGTACTGTTATGAACTATCTCATTCACACCACTCGGGACTGCAGGAGCAAGCCCACAACTTGATTATTGTTGCTTCAAGTCCCTCCTGCTTCCCAGGCTTTGCCTTCCCCTAGCTTTCAAACCACAAGCAGTAAAAAAGAGAAATCACTTTCCAACGCTCTCACTCAACTCATCTTTCATGCAGGAAAGCAAAATACAGGAAAGAGAATCAATGCATGCTTTAATACCAATGCTGTGTACATTATCAATTAATGCTAAGCAGTTATTGTGCAATTTGCCAGTAGCAAGTACAGCCAAATAATGGAAAGACAAAAAAAAAAAAGAAAAAAAAATGAATGAATGTATCACTCACTTCTTTTCCTTCATTCTGCAGCTTTCGGTTGGTGTCCGTCACTTGATTCTGCAGGGATATTGGGGAAAAAAGACAAAGCGCATCTACATGTAAATCAGGAAAATGTTTTTCACAAACAAATCATACAGAAACACCATCACTTTTCACACAATCTTCTCTTGCATGGCATAAAACAGTTTATTAACTGATTTAATAGCCATCGCCATTCTGGCATACAGGATGCCAACAGCCACACAGCAAATAGGTGACACAAAAGGATTTTCTTCCCCTGTTACTAGAGAAAAGTAAAAGGCAGTAGGTGTTAATATTGTTGCACGGCAGCCTCAAAAGCTGCAGCCTTAACAGATCAAATTTTGTAGCAGATGCTCACATGCATTCTCATCTTAAAGCTATTTTACACAAGTTGTAGAGGCAGGACATAAACCTCATGAAATTCAATTTCCCCTCCCCAACACCAAATAGATTACAATTAGGTTTTAACACCTTAATGTCACAGCAAGAAAATAACTCTTCAATGTGGGCTTTACCTATAAAGTTCAAATATTTTCTCTTAGATCTTCAGATGCATCTCCCACTGGATCCCTCCTCCTGGCTGGTATAAAAAGGTATTTTTATATACCTGGTATAAAAAAAGGTGTGTATTTTCTTTACTAAACCATCTTTCTGCATTATCCTATCAAGTTGGGGTTCAGAGTTCAAAATGTCCCACTTAGCAAACTTTTTGGTTCCCTAGATAGCAAGATTTCAGCAGTTCAGCCCTTTACAGCTCTAGGCATCAGTTCAACTCAGTAAAAACAGACATGAGAACAAAGCTAAGTTTTAGACTCGTCAGAATAGAAAATAAGCAGCTTACACATTATTTAGAACAAGTAGAAAGATGACTTTGGGAATTCTCCTGTATACTCATTCAAGTTCAGACAGGAGAAGGTTTGTAAATATAGATACCATCTTCTGCAGACCAGCTGGGATAGCTGGAAAAAATTACACAAAGTTTCAAGTAAACATGCCCAGCTTCAGGTCTTTCGCAAAAGCAGCTAATTATAAAGGTAAATACCAGCAGAGAAGGACTGCTCAGAGTTCAGGTGCCTCATGTCAGACTGAGACTAACATGCCACCTCTTCCCCCCCCATGGAATACTCTTTTCACAGCTACTAAAGTTGTAAATATTCATTTCCAGGCTCATCTCTGTAAGATGCCTCAGAGATTTCTAGTTTTACTCAGGCTTACTGTACAGTGGAAGCTGCTTCTGGATTTCAGCCGGCATCATCAAATTTTATGAACTAGTTCCTGTGTGTTTTCAGGAGTTCTGTTCATTCTATAGGCAAAATCAGTACCAGAGCTTGGACAAAAGCACGAGCTGTGACAGGGAGCTCTCGAAGTATATTCAGGAGCATAAGATCACAGAAACCAACTTAAGATCTTTGTTTCCTGACACTTCAACAATTGCAGAAACAAGCTGAATTTTTAATTAATCACTAGTGAACGTCATTTGATGCTCTCTAATTATCCAACAGACCATGGATGGTGCACGGAGCAGCCACAATAGCAGAGCAAAGCAGGACAAGCTTCAAGGTGTCTTCAGAAGATAAGAGCCAACTCTTTCCTTTTTGTGCACACCACAAGGCAACCAGTTCAGATAGGAGGGGAGTTTTGTATTAATATATATAAAATTGTTT